ACTGCTTTTTTATCATATTATCCTTTGTTCTTCCTGCTGCGGTCCGTATTAGTTTTTGCTACTTGTTCTTGGGTGTTTTACTAATCATGATGTAATGTTTTCCAGTACCTGCTGAGGTCCGTATTAGTTTTTGCTACTTGTTCTTGGGTGTTTTACTAATCATGATGTAATGTTTTCCAGTATTGTATACCTCTAAAGGCTAGAATTTGGCACAGCAGTACTGACAAACAGCTTGTATATACACTAATGCCCAGTAACGGTTAATTGCTGTTAAGTATATAATGAAGAACTGACACTTTCTAAGTATAGTGGGTAGTTTCTGTTCTCATTCACTGAAATACGGAGCTGCAGCAGCCCAGATAAAATCTGGACCAGCTGAGGTACTTCAGATTTAAAAAGGCAGGTGGATTCTGAACATATATGTCTTCTGATTAGTTGCAGAAATTTTATGTTTCAACACCTAATTCTTTCCTCTCCTACAGAAAATGAGAGGAATTATATAAAAGTGTTTTGGATCTGATGCTTTCCTATCAGACTAGACAAAAATTTATTGCAGCTTGAAAAAGCTCTAGAAATAACATATTGCACACAGAGGGACCTTCATCCTCTTTCTGTGAATTACTGAGACAGTCATATCTTCTTGCCTGTCCTTGAAACAAAGTCTGCACCTCTTTTTAATGAATCCTGAATCAGAAAAATATCTTTAGTCTTGAAGGAAATAGACAAGATTCTCCTTTGTAACAATAGTTATTTCCAGGAAATGTGATTCAAAGAGTGTTTCCCAACTCACAGATAAATTAATTTTAGTGATGCTTGACAGCCATTCTGTTTTTCCACTAAGAACAGTCTTACTGTAAATTGAGACTGGAGAATTGCATTATTCATTTGAAAGATGCTTCTAGAATGTCTTTAGGCTCTTCTGGGTAGTGACAGTCTTACACAGAAATAAAATGGCCTTGCTTTGCTGTAGATTTATTAGTACCAATATTTTCTGCAGTGTCTCTCCTTTCAGAATTCTTTGTTTTTTCATAGTCTTCTGTGTTAGAGAAATTGTGCTTGTTTTGTGGGCTCTCAATGTGCTCTTGATAAAGTCAACTCAGAGAAGATAATCCTCAGAGAAGGATTAAGTGTCATTTGTCCATTTATTACAATGAGTAAACTGAGTCAGAGAGACTCTAATTTTCATAAAACCACGTAGCAACTTAGTGTTTTAATTAAGTCTGATTCAGCAGCACATACTAATCGGTTTCCATGGTGCCTGAGGCCCAAGAAGCCAATAATTCAGCCATGTGCAGTACAGAAATAAGAGCTGAGTCTAAGTCATGAGAAATTTCATGTTCCAATGAGAGATACTGAAAATACCTTGCTTTCATTTTAACATTTATCTGTATTAAATTTTTACAAGAATATTCAAAATAATCTGAGTAATTACAGTAGAAGTGATGGGACTGTTTTACACTGTTCAACTGTGACAAAAACCTTGAGAAAAACAGATGCTGTGGTTTCTGCTTTGCTTCTTGCTATGCTTTGCTGCCAAGAGTTTAATATTTTAGTGATACAGGGATGAAGAGTTCACCCGAAACAGAATTAACTAATGTTAGTGAAGTATCTATAAAATAGTCAGTTCTTCAGGGAGGCAGGAAAGGTATTTGTGATCTTAGAAATGTAAAAAAATGGCATCCTCCAGCTTCACTAGGATAACGTGGTACACACACAGGATTCACAACACAGATGGACAAAACACAGGCAATGTTGCAGAAGGGTGGCAGCAGATTAGTGTTAATGCTGCATGGCTTCCATCCGTGAAGTGCTGCGGACCACATGGTGCCAAAATAAAACCTGCGTGAGCTTCCCTCGGCGCTTTCCCAATTCTTCCCCGAGACATTTGGGGCCACAGGATTTCAAATGGAGAAGGACAGGCTGCTTGGCAAAAGTAGCATGGATGAAGCAGAAATCCTCTCTGCCAGGTCTTGGGTGAGGTCTTTGCACGCTGCCTGCACTGCTGTGTTGGGGGAATGAACTCACAGTGAGGCAGGGGGTTGGCCAGGTCTTTCTGTTCTTTGGAAATATTTCTCTTCTGATTCAACCAAGGAAAAGGATGTCCCTGTTTCCTTCTATCTGCACAAATTTTAAAATGCAAAGCTGCTCCTCCTGTCTCTGGGCAATTCTGGGGACAAAGCCTCAAAAAACACAGGTCGGTCTCTTATTTCTGTAACAAAGCTTCTCTGTGGTGTTGGACGAAAGTGTAATTACTGTGTGTCTCAGTTCTCGCAGTACGATGGCAGTATGTCCTACCTGACAAAATACTGATGATTTTGGTACTGTGTGGAGGACTGAGCTGTATGACATGTGAATGGGAGAGCCTAGCACCATGAGTGGACAGACCAGATCAAATGAACTCTGTAGAAAAGTTCACACTTAGAAGCTGGTTTGTTTTTTTAAATGCCTTGATTAGGCTTAATTGAGGCTGCACCAGTTTCAAGATAAGCACTCCAGAGACAAATTAAGGTTGCTACTATTATTTATACAGGACTTAAAGCATGAATGGAGCTTGAGCTGTCACAGAACCAGCACAGCCCTTGTCCTACTGGCTTATCACCTCCAGACTGGGCACATTACTGGAAATGGGCACACCAGTCAGGAGCTGAACATGAACTTCTGATCAATGTAGGTAGTAAGAGAGAGGTGGGCAATGATGAACAAGGTTTAGAAAGATGTGACCAGCCTATTTGTTCTTCACTCAAGAGCGAGATTTCCCAAACAGATATGTAGCCATAGACAAGTTGATCAAACCCATCCTGGTGTGGTTTTTCTGAGAGATCTGTTCCCTTATAATGCACAAAACCATGTAGTCTTGTTTCAGGGAGCAGCTAGATTCTTTTGAAAAAAAGGTAGGGAACGTTCTCCTTGTTGAGAGCCAAATAAGCCTTTCAAAAAACTTTGACATAAGAACGTGAGAAATGCTATAGTTTGGTAGTGCGTTTACTGCAGCATTCTGTCTCTTATGGGGGCAGCAGCAAATCTTTACTGTTTGAGGAGAGTACACAAGCCTGGCCACCACTTCTCTTCAGTTCTGCCAGTGCCCACCATCATCCAGCTAGGGATGTTGATGTCTGCCTATTGCCTTTCTTATCTGATTTGGATCTATTGTACGTGAATTTGTCTAACGGCTCTTATGCTATCTGACTTCACAATCTCCTGTGGCAAAACCATCCCACTGTGGAAGAAGTATTTTCTTTTATCTGTATCATCTTCTAACATCAGTAAGTGTCCCTCTACTGCTGAGGGATTTAGTGTGTGACAAATTCTGCATTCACTGCCTCCATGATTTTGTAAACCTCAATCGTATCATCCCCATCAGTTTTCTTTTCTCCAGGTTAAAGAGTCCTAATCTTTATAGTGTCTTCTTCTAAAGTAGTTGCTCCGTCTCCTTGAATGTTTTGGTAGTCCTTTTCTATGCCTTTTCTAACCCCGCTGTATTTGTCCTGAGGCAAGCAAATTGTTGTCGGGTATCTGCCAAGTACAGTGTTAGGCTTCTCAAAGTCCATTCTTAGTTCTAATGTAATAGTATATCTTAAGTGAGAACAACAAAATCTCAAAGTTAGGTGGAAAAAAACCTAATAGTTGATGCTCTCCTGTGCAGTATATGGCTGAAGCATCAAGATGCTTCATTTTGACAACATAGCCATCATAAAAAAATGCGACTATAGAAATTGAGTGTCCCCTGCTCCAGTATGTCACACCAGGTATGTAAAGTCTGAAAAGGGTTGGAAGCTGTTGCAAATTTGGTGGAGAAAGGAATGACTTCTGATGAGTGTTGTCAGTAAGGAAAGTTGGCAGTGGTAGGGTAGTCTTCAATACTAATACACAAAAGCTACAGCTGCTACGAACCAATGTCACGGGCTGGCATCTGCCCTCTTTGTTTAGAAACTTATAAATAGATATACCATTGTTATTCCTCGAAAGTACAATGTAAATAATGGTTTTTAAACCAAGGCAAAAAAAACCCAGCAACTTGACTGAAATAATGTATCTCCTGAGATATTTTTCTCATCTTGATTGCAGTCATGTATCAGCTTTCCAGTAGATGAGCTGGCAGAGGGCCACTGCTAAACGGGATCTTCAGTAGGAAGAGTAGAGCGATCTCTTGAACCTCTTGTGATTGCACAGATCCCTTGAGTATTGAGGCTTTCAGGTGTCTTTATTCCACCCTACTGTGTGAGTAACTGAAAAGCAAGACCAAACTCTTTGATGTATTTGCTAATTTTACAAATAGCTTGTTCTAATCGGAATATAATGATCAGAGAAATATGTCTATGGCTTGAAGAGCCAATAAAAAGTCAGTTGGTAACATGAGGTTGTTCAAGCTAGTGAAGTTCCGCTGGAACTGATGTGTATTTTAGGGCAATCTTTAAGAAGGGAACTGATTCAATGATGATATCTCAAACAGGATTTGGTATGTTCTGTACAGAAACTCAAATTCAGCTCCCACAATAAAAATGAATTTTTGCCTTTAGGTTTTGACAATGCGTAGTAATGAGTATGGTGTACTGTTGCAGGTTTAACTGAGCACTTGGTAAATGCCGTTGAATGAGTGCTGACTCTATGTGGTCTTGTGCTGTGTGTGACTTTCTGCTTACCTTTGGTCATCAGAAATTATTTTCATTGTAACTAACATTAGAGATTAAAGTATGTTAGATTAATGATGAAACCAGCTGTTTCCTTAAAATAGTCAAATGAAAGTGTTAACTTAAATCTTGAAACTGAAATGATATCAAGATACCCACCAGTCCCATTGGTCAGAACAGTTGCCCTGCCCAAACTCTCACTTAAGTGATGAATCTATCTGACCATTGATAAACAGCATTAGGTGATGTGATGGCTCTGAAGACCACAGACCTCCTGCTAATGGTGCCATGTGCAGGTTGAGGGAGCAAGAGACATTGATTCAGATGACATGAGACTTACTAACCTTGTTTCTTTTGCATTTTCCCAAATAGGGTCGAGACTGCAGTGTGCCTATTAATTCTTGCATTCAAAATCCATGTCAGAATGGAGGGACCTGCCACCTCACCGAGGCAAATAAAGATGGGTTCAGGTAGTAACACAAAGTTAATTTAAAATGAGATGATAAAATTAAATGTGTTTCTACTTTGCATTAACGAACTATAATAATAAAAGCTGCTGCATGTAACGCTTCTATTTGCCATACAAAATAAGTAATCTGGTTTCATTGATGTTGGCATATTGTTTCCCCTGAAACAGGCCTCCTTATTGTCTCATAATGGCCTATACTCTTAAGAGCTATTTTAAGCAGTCTCCCTAATCTGCATTGTGTTATCTGTATGCCAGTTTTCCGTGGGGCATTTCAAACTCACATATACCCTTTTTTGTATTTGTAAAGTAAGCATCTGTTGCTTGACAACCAGATGCAAAATGTTTTCATACTGAAGAATCTTGTAGACAAACAGGCTTTAAAGAAACAACTAAAAAACATGGAGAGATTGCCACATCTTGAGCATTGTGCCTGCAAGAGAATAACCTTTACAGCTGGACATTATGGATTTCAGTTTTCCCATATAAGAAAGGTGTAGTATAGGTGGGGATACTCCAAGAGAAGTCCAGAAATTTTCATGAGGTAACTGGGAGATTTGTGCTGCTGCAGGCACTACTTTACTGCCTGTAAAGAAAATAGAAGTTTGAGGCTTTGAGCGCTAGTTATCATTAAAGTTGATAGAAATTTATTTTTGTTTTTAGAAAAGAGTTGCTGAAATTTTCATAGATTTGGTCCTCAGTATTTATACTATTTCTTGCACAAAATATGTACAAAAGTACACCATGCTATTGTTTCAATTGCATATATGATAGCCTTACTTCTAAAAGCTTTTATACATTACTGAGGCTGCTGCTTTGTCTTCTCATGTATATAGCTTCCTATCAATGACAGCTGGAGGGAGATACAGAATTACAAGGTTTATAAATGGTGTAAGCAAGTAGTCAAACCGGTACATTTTTTTTCAGTTTGATTCCCCTTTGTTTTCAGCTGTGATTAAGACTGTTCCAACTGAGGTTAACTATTTGTTAACCAAGTCAGCAGACTCATAGCATCTTCTGTCAGAAAACAGGACTTTTTCAAAATAGAACGGGCCAGGTGACTGATAGGACTTTAGGTGCAGTGAGGGGTTAGCACCCCCATCCTGTGCCCCTGCCAATGGTAGGTTGCCTTTTATGTTTCCAGAAAAGCATTGTGGCTTCTTTTTGCCTCCCCAAATCCCTCACGTGGGAATGAGGCACAGAAGAGTTTCCATTTTGCCCTGTGGGTGGGATGAAAGGGGAAGCAGAAAATGGAAGAAATGCCCCCAAGCTGCTCTCTGTCTCTGTACCTGCCCACCCTCAAGAATTCGCCCCTTACGGAAACAGATCCAGCACATGCTGGACACTGATGATATTGCAGTGGAAAAGTGCAGGTTGATGGGGATGAAGGGTTGCTGTCAAGCTCTGTTATGAATAACAACCTGAGGCTTTCCAACATGGGAGAACAGGAGTAAAACACATGTCCATGTCTCCATGAGGGACAGTTTAGAGCTAAGCTTGAGCACCTGTGCCAAGGCCCTGAGCAGAGCAGAAGAGTGCAACTCCTGGGTAGAGATGCGTCTATAGGGTCATGCTGGTGCATGAATACTGGGAGAGGATGAGGAGGCTCTGCAGATCATAGCACGTGCAAAGGGTCATGCTGCTTGATAGACCCCTTAGATTTTGGTGAAACCACTACTCTGATTTGATATACCTCTTCTCAATTCAGATTTTTGCAGGCCCAGCAATTTTTGAAGTAAAAGTTGAGGTTCAGTTTCTGCTTGAGAGAAATGAAAGTCTGGTGGTCTTTGGTTCGGATTCCCTTCTGGTCACCCTCATGTAATACTGTTTAGATAGCTTTTTCCAGATTGTGCCAAAGAAAAAAGTCGTACCATATTAGAGTATCTGTTTTCTGTCACTCAGTACTCATTTTTTTTAATCTAGCTGATACTAAAAATGTACTAGTAAAACATTTTATAATATCCATAATACTAGAATGAAAGGCTTCAGCTGATATTTTGAATCTGAATTTTCTCTCTAGCATTTTTTTTTGTCCTGTTATAGAAACTAAAAAGTTTTGAATGAACCGAAATGAAAGCTATTTCTGAATTTTTCTCGTGAAGAATTTTACAATTTCAGAGGCTTTGCTTCGGTTCCAAATGAATGTCATTTTTGAGGTCTTTTATAAAACTACAGGGGTGGTTTTGTTGCTTAACAACATTTGAGGCTTTTTAGGGAAGGTTTCTGCTTTTATATATAGTTATTTATATAGTTTCAGTTGGTCTAATAAAACACATATAAAACCATATCTCATCAAAATCTCGCTTCATAAAATTGGATGTTCAGCTTATACATTGCTCTGTTTTCTCTCCATGTTTTTAATTGTCAGTCCATAGCTGCAGCTGCTCTGGAGAAGAGGAGCATGGAGCTTTAGCATGTTGTAGAGAAATGTGGTGTGGGGATGCAACAGTCAGTGACAGGGAAGATAAAGAAACATTTTGAGATCGAAGTGAGTTGGTTGGTTGGGTTGGGTTTTTTTGGTGGGAGATCTCCTCTCCAGTGGATGGCAGCAGTCAGAGTTATGTGCATATAAATTATGTTCATCAAGATGGGAAATCATTGCCTTAGATTATATGCTGTGAGGAAGCGGATGTCAAAAACAGTTTCATGAGAGGCCTCCTTGGATTTTGTTGTTGTGTGGCCTGTAAAAGAAATTATATCTTCTGTATATTCTCTTCCCTAGGGAAATATATCCATACAGAACCTCTGCTGCCAAACTTGTCAAATCTTTACTCTCGTAAAAAGGAAACTTAAGCCAAAGCTCTCTCCCTATGAAATGCCAAGCAGTTTAACTCTCAAGTTTCTCTAGCCTTAGACAAGAAAATTACCTTTTATATAATGCTAAGGTGGTGATGTTCCCCAGGCAAAGACAGGAAATTCATAGTTATGACTGAGATTCCAGCCTGAGTCGCCCGCTGTGCCTGGTACCCACAAGGGCTCGCAGCAGCAGGGGATTGAGACGCTCAGATTTGTTGTAATAGCAGGTCCTGGTGGGGCAGCCAAAGGGCAAAGGTTCAGCTGGAGTTCTTCAGTCCTTCGTGACATCTTTCATTCTTGCACTTTTTCAATTCTGGGTAATTTTCACATTCCCTTTTTCAAGGTAGGGATGACTTCTGTATTAAAGAATAGTTAAGTGACATTGTGTGGCTCAGGATTAGAAACATGAAGTTCTTCATCCCTTTGAATTACTCATTCTAATCTAATCTAATCCATGTCTTCTTTGACGAAAGGTTGCCAAAAAAGGTGCTTATTGAGACTGATAAAAAAAAATGGTCAAGCAGATGTGTCCTGGTCATTTAGCATACCTGTAAGTGAGACTTTGACAAAGGAGGCAGAGCTGTCAGCTGTGCTTCAGTCAGCCACAGGCAGCCAGCTGATCTTTGATAACTAGGGTGTTGGGAAAGAAAGTCTCTGGATTATTTTAACTTTACCCTATATAAAACCCTCTCCATTTTCCAGACCGTTTTCTTTAGCATTTTCCACAAACTTTAAGTTCCCTTATAAATGTAAAATCCTGGAACTGATTAACTCCCTAGTATTAATTCTGCCTAGTTCAAGGAAAAATGTGGCACTTCCAGACTTAGAGGCTACTCCATTGGGATGTAGATGTAAAAAGCTCCTTTACCAAGAAACTGTAATATTCCTGAAAGAATTTACTATCTCTGTTTAAAAGTTGATTTTTTTGAAATGTGATACACTGTATGTATGCCTATTTTAATAAATAGATGCTAAACTGTTTCATTAGAGTTTATGAAAAAAAATTATTTTGAATAGAGTAAGCTTGCAAAATTGTCTATATACTTCAGCTCCAAAAGTTTACCCGCAAAATATCATTAAGTTCTATGTTCCCTTGTGCCTTCATGAGGATAATGGAGGTTTATTTAGTTCTTTATTTTTAGGAAAACACAACACTAACAGAAAATCCCTAAACTGGAGGAACGGGGAATTTGGACATTTATGCCATCACAGCGTCTTAGAAAATAGTTCTTTCCTGCATGGCTTCATTGTTTCCGAGGCCCAAATGAAATGCTGTCTCACACTGCTTCACTATTTAGTCAGTACAAAGTTTTCATCATTGTCTCTGGAATTAATTTTCTCTCTCGGTCAGCTGGAACCCGAGTTTGATGACCTTCCAGTCACTCTGCAAATTTCATTTTTCTTCTAAGCTTTTTCTGGGAAAATACATACAAACAGTCCCAAACTGCAACTCTTTCAACATATGGTTCAATCCAGGTCCCAAATTGTATGTTTTATCTTTTAATTTCAGTCCTCGTATTTGGCACATTTGAATGCAAATCAAAATAAAGACTCATACGTAAGGAATAATGTAAAGACTCCTTATAATACATAGGGACTGGTAGCCAAATGTCATCAATTATGCTGACATTTCCTTCAGTATGGAATGTGTCCTAATACTGAGCAATTGTATGCTAACAATCCCATATGTATTGTTACTAATGGTAACTCTACTGTGTTGAACCATTACTGTGATAGTATTTAATAATGTCATTTTTAATTGCATACATCCAAGCTTTCCCAGTCCTTTTGTGGAAGGAAAATGGTGTTATATTCACATAAAAATAACCAGCACAAAGCCACTCTTGTTGATTTCTTTAAATGGAGAGAAAAATTTGTGCTTCCAAACTGAGACCTTGAATGCCAAGTTGCAGCCTGGAGCATATTTTTATGGCTGAGTTATAACCCCTGAAAATGGGGGTTTGTAATCGAAAAGGGAGACATGATGAATGTGCCACTGTATTTAATTAGATGTCTTTAACTCCCTCTCCAACACTTGCATTGCCACAAAAGATGGTGTGCCAGCTCTTCTTTCTTATCTGCCTCCTATGATCCTCTGGATCATTGCAGGGTCAGCAAGAGGACATACTTTATTAGCAATAACGAGCTTGAGACAGGAAAAGAAAATATGTCTTACTGATTTATTGTGTCCTAAATTGGATTTATTTGAGCAGTTTGGTTTTGGTTATTCATGATGAAGGTTTTCTAACTCTCATGACCTGTGAATGGTCCCTGCAGAACTGGATGAAGATGACTGTTAGCATGTGACCTATATGTCTGGTTTGTACCCATCTAGAAGATCTTACTGTTGTGGTGGCTCAAGCCACATTCCCTACCCTTTTTTCTTCCTCTTTGTTATCCCCTTAGTTTCTGAGTTTGCACGTCATGAAGAATCTAACCTTATCTTTAGGGTCCAACCGGGGACCTACTGAAAGGGGAATGCAGAGCTCTGTGCCATCCCTCCGTTGCGAGTCCCTGCGCTCTACTCAGTCTGTGGCACGCAGGAGGAAGAGAAGCAAATGTCATGCTGAGAGCAACCAGCCCAAAAGTGCTGCAGTGTTCTTCACAGATTCTGAAGATCTTCTCTTTCTTCAGGGCATTCCCCATCTCAACCCCATGACGCCTACATAAAGCAGGATAACCACCCCGTGTCCACTTTGTCCATCTCAGCTAAAAAAAGAAAAAAAGTACCCTGCAGCTGTCTCTGCATTGGAGATTCTCCTGGTTTCAGGAAGCAGTGGATGGCAATTAGTGTGACTGCTCTGGTGCTTTCTGGTTTTCGTCCTCATCAGCACTTTACATTTGTTCAGTTCCTTTTCTGCCACCAGAACTTGGATGGGAAAGGAAATGAACGACTGAGTGAATGTGTAGTTTGGACTGGGACTCAAAACAACCCTTCCCTTCTGCACACCCGTTTCCATGACTAATGAACAGCAATACTGACACTTCAAAACTGACACTTCAAATATCATTGCTGGCTTCTTAGAAGCCACTGAAATGACTGGAGCACTTAACAGATGTTTTTAGACTCTCTTTTAGGAAACTGTGGCCTCCACCTCTTCATCACTTACAGCTAGTTTAAAATATGAAGGCTCTCTTAGCAACCGTAACTTCTAGATCGAGAGAAGAAATGAAGATTGAAAAAAAAGTCAAGTCATTCTTCAACCACTTAGTTTCTTACACTCCCTCTAGGGACCATACATCAGAGCCTTGTGAGCTAAAATATTTAGTGCAATTATTCTTCAATAGTGTCCACATCCTCACAGAACCATTACTAGCTCTGGCATTGTTTGTTTGTATTTTAGTTGAATTATCTAGACATCGTCAGTTCTTCTACAAACAGATGTTGGAGGAGCTGGAGAAGTACTGAAACCTTGCTGCACTTGTAAAAGCAATCATTCCCAAACATTTCTTGTTTGCACAAGTGACAAAGTGGTAATGAGAAGAAAATGTTCATGTCTCTAAATTCAATTCAAGCCATTGTTCGTTAGAGTGAGCTATCTGAAAGGTGCCAAGTTGCCCTATAATTGTGCAGTCCTCAGTACACAAGTATCTGCATACTCACAAAATCATTAACAGAGAGGCCTAGGATTTGAATATTGTGATGAGTGTTTCTTCTCCTACCCTGGTTTTATTTACTTCAGTTCAGGGCTAGGGTTATCGACAAAGAAAGCAAAGGGAAGCATGACAGAGGCTGTCTCCTGCTGGTGCTTTTATGTCTCATGTAAATAATTACATGACCCCATGAACCACCAGTCTGCATCCTTTACCAAACACATAGGGTTAAAGTGCTCTGTACTTCACAACAGCAGTGAATTTGGCTCCAGCAACTCACTTTTATATGTTTTAATTTCAGTTTTATACCTCAAACCTCCTGCCCCTTCAGATCCATGCTAACTTTTATTAATTTTTTTTCTTTCTCCAAAGCTGTTCTTGTCCCCTTGGATATGAGGGGGAGAGGTGTGAAATAAACCCAGATGACTGCGAAGATAATGACTGCGAGAATAACTCTACATGTGTGGATGGGATCAACAACTACGTCTGTCTCTGCCCTCCTAATTACACAGGTAAGAAAGGGCCACAACCAAAGAAGAACAGGAATCCATGAGGAGTACCTGAAGAGAAGGGTCCAAATGCATGTTTACTTTGTCCGTGAGTGTATAATTAACCAAGAATCTAGTTCCATTTTAAAGCAACCTGGATGTCTTACTGGAAATATGTTAGTTCTACCAATATTGCAATACACATGCTCACAAACATGGACACTTTTCTGAGTCAAAATACTGACGCCTCATTGTAAAATGCATTAAAAAATGGTGAAGTTTAAGGTGTCAGAGAAATCTGTACTTTTGCATGCACATTCTCTAAATATATTTCAGAAATACTCCCAGTACAGAGCTGAGTCTGATATACATCTGTTCTGAATCTTGGGAAATGAAAGTAGTTTCTGTTCAAATTAAGGTAGGAAAATAGCTTTTGGGGCATGACTTTCACCTGAGATCTCACAAGGTCCACATTTATTAAATAAAATGAGCTTGACAATGTGCTGTTTAAATTCATTATCTCCATTTCAGAGGTGGAGAAGCAAAGGCTGTATAAGAAACTGTAGGCTCAGTTGTAGTCTTCAGTGTGTACCCATGGCAGTTAGCCCAGCTCAGCAGATGTGCAGTCACCTGCTAAGTCCACGATGACAGAAGTTGGTAACTGAGTTAGAAATGGAATTAGTATCTCCAGCACCCATCCTGCGTTCCAGATAAATTCCTTCCTAAACTTTCTGCAAGAGCAAAAACCCTCCTAACTGGAATCTAAAAATGTTTTTTTTCAAGTCATTGCTAGAGCATACCGTTGACTCATTCAAACTGTGTTAGCATGGCCTTCCTGGCTCAGCATGGAGTGGTAAGGAAACACCTGCAATAGTTCCTACTTCCATCCTTTGAAATGGGTTTATTACCTTCTAAGCATGGAGAAGTAATGAAGGGCTTCTTGTACACTGGAATATATTACATGTCAGGGGATTTAATGAGGATCAAGCTTGAGTGGCTGGGTAAGGCAGGAGGAAAGCTTCTAGAATTTCCAAACTCTTAAAATACTTTTGTGGCTGATACAAAGGAGGCCCATGTAAATCTTTAGCTGAAAAAAGTCTTACGACCTGAATGTACATTTATTGGAGTTCTAAAATGTTCTTTCTGCCAAAAATTGAAAAACTTCAGCTTAGCAGAGTAAAGAGTTTTGCTTATAGGATGTTGAGCCCATTGTGCTTACTTGTGCACTATTTATGTGAGCTGTTCTTGGGTGGTTTCAAACAAAACTCTACACAAGGAGGCAGAATCTTTACATTTACAAGAGGAAATATCTTTGCCCAGCCAAGAAAAGACATATCTAGTAAGAAGCTGAATTCAGTATGTACGCAAATGTACTCTTTCCTCTTCACAGGCATATTGCAGAGGTTTTTTTATTTTCAGACAAAAAGGTAGGAAAGAACTAGATTGGGATTTCTTCTCAAATGGCAGTCTGGATAGGGTTAAGAGAAACTTCAGAATTAGTTTTGAAATATTTTCAATCAACTTCCAGCTTTATTTTTTACGTGAATATTGTCCGTGCTGTGCTTATGCTTATTAGCAGGAGTTTGTCAAATACTACACCTCAGTCTTGCAATGTGGGATACACATAATTGTATATACCACACAATATGCATTTGCTTTCACAGTGTAAGCAACACCTTTGACTATGGTTAAAACAAACTGAATTTTTGAAGAAAAGCAGAAAATACTTCTGGAAAATATAATATGAATCATAAGTGAAAAAGGTTGCAAAAATAGGGGTGTTGCTTAAATTAGAAATCTCAAGGGTTACAATAGTTCATGTTGCTTAAAAATAGGAAGAGTTTAGTGAACTGTGATAAAAGAATTGCCCTAACCTGCTTTACCTCCATTTTGGAGGGGGATATTTCATCAAACCTGATCAGTCACCTGGAAGGACTCACTGCAGTGCAGCTGGCTAGGCTGAAATATCCCTCAGAGGTAGACCTGGCCCTCTCAGAGTGGAAAGGCAGGGAGCAGCATAAGATGGCTGGAAGAACTGAAGCCATCAGCCAAACAAAAGTTGCATACAAGCCAAGCAAATCTGAGCTGTGGTTTTGAGGGTCCTCTAAGAGTTGAATCCAAACACAAGAAATTGGACATCATCTGAAGTTGCTCGATTGAATGAAGAGCAGCTAAGGATATGCCATGGAAGCACATAGGCAAGTGATGAAGAAGCACTTTGAAAGGATTTGTGTGCCTGACCTGTAAAGAGAGGGATCTATTGACCAAAGAGTTTGACTGAAGTCTCCTGTGACATCCAGGGCATCTCTGTATATTCTTTTTAACTAAATCTTTTTATGCTGAAGCAATAGCTGAAGCTACTCTAGCAGTACCTATTAAAAAAAAAAAAAAGGTGCAGATGACTTTAATATTGTGTTGAATATGCTAAGAATAGTGAATGCTAGCACTTCAGAGAGAAAGCAGGTCACTGGAGGAGTCAGGAATACTTATTCCTGTGCTCAGAATTGTGCATTGAGGTACCTGCCTCCCCCTCAGGTGCTGACTGTGCTAAACATCGTGTTAGCAAACTGTGTGTGCTTCAGAGTTGCCAAGTGTGGATTTTATCTATGTTTAGATGAACAAAGAACAGATGACAGAGGGTACTGTCTAGGGAAGCAGTTTTGCTGTGAAGTAGTCTGGGGGACAATGAGCTCTCAATATGGTGCTTTGCCTAAAAGGGCAGTGATATCCATAGGCAGGATGGATCTAGTAGGACAGAAAATGTAGGTAATATCTCTTTGTGTTGTGCCCAAATATTATACTTGGTGGTGTTCAGAATTCAAGGAGCAAGTTGAGAGATGAGAAAGAGGATTGGAGGTGAAACATAAAAAAAACATTGGGGGTTTGATAATAGGTCTTGAAGATCTCAAGAAAAATCTTAGTTGTCTTTATTTGGCTTAACAAAGAATAGGCAGACAGAGCGAGCTTTTTTTTGGCTTCCCCCCCCACCCCCCCCAAACACTTGTATGGAGACTAGGATTTTTTTTGAAGGGGTCATTGGCTGGCCTTTGTGGCTGAACAAAGCCAGACCATATGTAATTATACAAGAGTTGTTGGTTCTAGATACAAACTGGATTTCTCAGCAGATGCCATAGTTAAAACACAGGTTAATTCAAGAGTGCTCCAGGTTACACCAGAGGTCAGACTAGATATTTTTGTACTGATAATCTGTGATGTTTTAGGTAACATTCAGGTTGTTGGTCATAGATGCCCAGCTCAGCTATTGCAGAGTCCTTCTTTTCTCAACTGT